CAGGTGTCAGAGCAGAGATTCCCCTGCAGCCTGAGGGGAAGACCATGGTGTGCCCCTGCAGCCCATGGAGGTCCACAGTGGAGCAGAGATCCATTTGCAGCCCCCATGCTGGAGCAGGTGGGTGCCTGAAGAAGGCTGTGACCCTGTGGGAAGTCGCAGGCTCCTAGCAGGACCTGTGGGCCCATGGAGAGAGGAGAGCCCATGCTGGAGCAGGCTCCTGGCAGGACTTGGGATTCCACAGGGGACCTATGGTGGAGCAGTTTGTGAAGAACTGCAGCTTGTGGGCAGGACTCACACTGGACAAGAGCATGAAGGACTGTCTCCCATAGGAGGGACCTCACGTTGGATCAGGGGCAGAGTGTGAGGAGTCCTCCCACTGAGGAGGAAAGAGCAGCAGAGACAATTTATATATAATATAGCAAGGCCTGTCTACAGCCTGGCTTTTGTTTTCTCTGTGTTCTGTTTCTGGATCATTGTGGGCTCCCATTCCAATAGAATAAGTTTAACTACTTTCTCCATTTTAAATTTATTAGTACAGGACTAGGTGGCCTAATTAAGTAACAGATACACATACTGAAGAGCAATATTGGAAGACAGAAATATAGTACTGTCTGCATAATACTTGCACAAAAATGGTGCAATTTCACATTGGTGGAATTTTTGTTAAAAATATCAATGTGTGTATTTTTTTCCCTCCTAGATAAACATTAAAAATGCTGAAAAAGTTAGTGCAATAAATAAAGCATTTGCTGAAGTTCAGAAAGAAGTGCAGCAGCTATCGAAAGGCACCACAGCAGAACCTCAGAAGACTCAACAGGTAATTTCCCTTTGTAAAAATCTGAGGAGGAGACTGAAAGGAATGTGTGTGTTTAAAGCATTACATTCTGGCTCTAAGACTGGAGGCAATTTGTGCAATTGCTTTAAAGCTATAAACCCAGTTTTATTAATTTCATTTGTGTGGTAATGCTGAAACCTGGTTAACATGTTCAAATGCTATATAACTACTAAAGTAGAGAGAGAAGAGGGTGGGCAGCCAAGCTGAAGCACGCTTCCAAAACATAGTTTTAAATTATTCCAACTGGTTTTAAATTATTTTTTTAAAGTCAGTCCCAGCTTTTTGATTTGAGACTTATGTCTCCCCATGAGTAGACGCTGAGGATGAACCTAGATGTTCCCTACCTGAAGCACCTGACAGTGCTTTGAAACATACAGCTCTGTCTCTCTGTTCCTGATGCCTAGGCCTTCATATTCCCTCATCAGAAGTACCAACACCTAAAACAGCAATTTCTGTACTAGAGGTTTTGCCTGCAGTGCTTGGGGTTCAAGACAGTGTTTCACTTGCCTTCCTTTGTTTAGTTTTTTATACAGGGCTACATGCAGTCTTACAAAAGAATTAATTTACAGAGTTTAATTCCTGACAAGTTCCTCCACATAAACTCTTTATGCTGACTCCTGATGCTCTGGGCAGTTTTGGGGAGAGAGAAGGCAGTGGGCCAGGATGAGGTACAGATGAATCCATCCTGGCTGTTGGAAGGAGGAGCTGTTTGGAGATGTGGACATGAGTTCAGTATTACTTCCTGTGCCTGAGGTGATCAAATTTCTGTATGGCTGTGAGTGACGAAACAAGTGTCAAATACGTTAAGGAGAGAGGCTGAGGGAAAAGTAAAACATAAGTGACAATGCTGTCAGTACAGGATGAGGCTGAGCAAGGATTTCAAGGCAGTTGGTGCCAGTGACCCTGTCCCTGCTGGCTTGCTATTTATTCTTTCAAGAATTCAGACTTTACTGCTGCTCCTGCGCTAGTAAGGCTGTACATGACAATGCCTAATTTGATGACTCAGGCTGTAATAGTATTTTCTCCAAAGTTATAAAAATGTCAAGAGCAGTTCTGAACTAAAAGGTGAGCCTGTCTCAATTGTGCCATGTATGTTGTTACTGGCATGACACTTCGTATTTCTCCTGCATAAAGCACTGTCAGCTTATCTGTTAAGTTTAGTGAATCCTGTAATCCCCCCAAATTATTGAAGTATGACTGCAAATTTAGACTAAATTAAATACATAAAAGACAAACTAATCTTCTAGACAATGGGTATTTATTAGTTTGGGTTTTTTTCAAGCAGAGTAAAAAGAAATTGCTTTCAACTTTAAACACAAACTTTTTTTTTCAGGTTTCCACAAATCTGGAAGAGGAACCAGCAAATGTGGATGCTGCTACAAACCTATTATCTCAGTTGTAATGTAAAATGGACAATGGAGGGATTGCAAGAAATGAAAGATCACAAACAATTGATGGGTTTGAAGAATTTTATTAAAAAAAATCTTGTTAATATACAAGTATTGGCACACTTTAATACAAACTACAAACAGACCTTTCCTGTCATCTAGGAAAGTGGAATGTCAGAAGTCAGTGTGAGAAACTTAAAGTGCTAAAACAGAAGGCACTTCACAAAATTGGTTCACTGAAACAATTTAGCATAACTCAAGTTGATACCCTTCACTTTTCAACTTGGCAGTGAAAGCTTCAAAATTGTTTGAAAGGTTAAAAAAGAATATACAAAGCTTCTTGGCAGTAAAGCTTCAAAGAAAACGCTGTTAACTGTAAGCAAGAAGCCTAATCATTTTTTAGGAAATGATCAAAGGCTAAAAAGTATTTTTGCTTTTCTTACTAAAGAAAGCTTCAAATAATTGGATTACACAGAGAACACTTGGGTGAAAAAGTGCCAGAATTTTTGATAAGAGCCCTTTTTTCTTGTTCTTGAATTTGTTTTGTGAAGTAGTTAAAGGAAGCAAAAGGAAATATACTCCCAGAGTCAGTGAACTAAGAAGTTATACATTCATTATTCAAATACTTAGGTTATGAAGAAGTCTAGAATGTTATAGTTAGAGGTAGATAAGTAGTCTGGTTGACACAATATCTAATAATTTAGTATCTGCACATCAAAGAGATCACAGACTCCTTCATTATCATCCAGGTTAAAGTTGTAGTCATCTCCGGGAGTAGGAGAGAGTCGTAAGAGAGGAAAAACTGTAAAGCAGGAATAGTTTAGTTTAAATTAAAACACTTTTGGAATATCAGCCCTATCTCATCATTCAGTATGTTTGTCATCACCAGTATCAAGGTTAGTCTTCATAATTAAAATAGTCTTGATAATCTGAAAAGCACGCTAGGATACATACTGTGAATATCTGTACTGCATTCAAACGAAGGCAGTAAGTGACCTATCTACCATTTTTTGCTTGGTATTTTAACTGAGTTTGCTGGAATGGAGCGACAGCATGGAATATGGGTTTAATTTCTCTTGCAGCAAAGGAGCTCCTGAGCAGCTTTTGAAAACTTTCATGAGAAAGCCATAATTTATATTTATATTCCTTTTTCTTGTTACAATATTGCATATATCTGCCTTCAAATAAGTAAGGAAGTTACTATTATCCCTATTTTACAGAAGGGAAATGAAGGCTAGCAGTTTTTCTGTGCACTGCATTTCAAGCATGGACTTGAAGCTGTCTCAGTGGGGGGAATGCAAGGAGAGAAGCCTCAGCCCTCATGTGGCACCGTAGGAACTCTAACATAGTGTAGATGAGCTGGGCATGCTGTACCTGCCCTAGAAGCGGAGACTGTTTCCATTTTGACCATATATTGGCACATTCACAGAATCCCATCTTGTACCTCATATCTTATAATTACACGTCTCTTTCTGCAGGAGCCCGAGGTTGTCTGCTAGGAGGGCAGATATTAGCACAGGCTGCTTACAGAGCACAGGGCAAAAGGAACAACACCAGCTGAGCTCACCTCTTTGCCTGGCACCTCAGAGAGACCGAGCAGAGAGGCAGGAGCACGTGAACTAAGCAGCTGTGGTTCAGTGCTGCGCTCTTACGGCCACTGAGGTGCAACAGCAGAAATGGGTAACGTTTGTTCTATTAGTGTACTGCAGCAAGCCACGTATCACTCTGCACACAGGCATGTAACTATGTTCTGAAATATTTATTTAAAGCACCTGCAGGAAGCCTGAGGCAGAAAAGAATTAAAACAGATATTTTTTTTAAGGCAGCACACTAGTCATCAGCCTGTTCTTTCTTTGTCCCTGAATTAAGGACTGGTGGGTTATTCATGCATGTAAGTGGTTGTTGGATTAAGGTTTTCATATTTTGACGGTTAAACTGTTGCAGGGAATAGAGAGGGGAGCAAAGACAAGAATGACAGAGGAGGCAATACAGGGAAAAGAAGTAGTTTCATACTGAGTCTTGTCATCACATTTAACATATGCCTCCTAAGTGCTGTTCACACAAAAACCATGCTGCTACTTGTGATTATTAGAAAAGATGCTAAATACTTACCGTCAGAAGACATAAGTTCGTCAATAATATCCCCACTGATATTTCCTGTGAAAGACAGGAGCACATGCTTTATACACGTGGGGTTTTTTTAATATGTGTTTATAGAAGTCAACATGTATTATCTGCATTAAAATACTGAACTGCAAAGGAACAGTGTGGCTCATGCAGTGTAGGAGCTGCAGACATAGCATGCCATGTACATGTAAAATATATTTATCTTTGTATCCCTCAGTTCCCCCCCACACACTACACTTCTTCCACTGATCTCTTATAACCCTAGAGCCATATACAACATGAAGCTTATTTGGTGGCAGAGAAGCTCATTTGCACAAAATGAGTTTGCTACTGAGAGCTGGCTCAGTGGCTTCACTAGGAGATAAACAGAGGCCTATCATTTCGTCTGTAACTCATTGGTAACTTGGTCGCAAAGAAGGGCTCAGGAAACCAGTATAAACATTCAAACAGGAACTACTGCTCCCTACCTGTGGGCTCCTCCATCTTTGCAATGTCAAATGAGTTTGGCTTGAGAATACAGTTGACATCCAGAGGCAGCAAGCCCTGGTAGTCACTGGAGATGGCTGAGGCTTGGGCACCATCTCCTGAAAGGCCAGGGTACAGTGCCAGCTCTGGAAGGCTGGAGTAGGGGGCTGCAGGGGCTGCGCTGTCCCGCTGGATGCTGCCATCTGCGGACAGAAAGGCATGTTATGGAGACATGGAACACAAAGCATCTGCACCCAGCTTTGTCTTTGGGAACATGGCCAGTGTCTGGGATCAGGTGCGAGGAGTCTCCCCCTTCCACAGTCACAGGCACAATTTAATTAGTTAATTAATTAAAGGTTAATAAATAAAGGTTAATCAGGACCCTCAGAAATGCAGTTGTAACACTCACAGCATTTTCTTAAATCTTTTCCTATTACCCTACCATTACTATGAAAAAAATACCTGATATTCAGGCAGTCTCTCACTCTGTGTGGAAGAAGGTAAGTGACACGGTGGTACAACAGCTGGAACTGATGCCTGTATTATCAGTCTCATTAAAAGGTACATGTTTCAAATAATATCCTCCATCAGAGGTTTGCAATTTTGCTCCATACTGCATTCTGGAGAAGCACCTCAGAATAAGTAACAGGATTACATCCAAAACCTGTTCAGTGTAAGATGATAAGCTGTGAGGGAAGAATGTGTTTCACTGGACAGAAGAGGAAGAGGGGTCTCTCTAACCTCCTGAGAGCTGTTAGTAAGCCCTTGGAGAAGATTGTCAACAGAGAGCTGCTATGCTGTGCAAATTCTTGAACTTTCCTTTGTCTACCACCTTTCCTAACAGTTTCTTCTTTCCCTCTAGCTGTCTTCCTCCCCACCCTGTTGGAGGTAGGAAAAACCCTGGATCCACCTGATGGTGTGTCCGCAGCTGGTGTTTGTGGTAACTCTTGTCCTTGGTTCAGGTCACGTTCTGGTGGATTTGGGGGAGCTGCAGTGGGTTTAAGTGGAGTCGCTGGAGCTGCAGGTTGAGATGGGGGCTGTGCAAGGTCATCAGGCGGAGGAACTGGAAACACCGTGGGCTTGGAGGAGCTCGATTCTTTATTTATAAGCAGCACATGGATAGGTCCTGAACTACTTTTAAGATTGATCTGGTATTTCTTCTGTCCATTCTGTCCCTGTAAAGGTGGTGTATTATGAAAGTTACTGTTCCTTGAGAACTCGACACTGTACAAGGTGATGAAGACTAAGTTCAGCTGTTTTGGTCCTCGACAAAAAAAAAATAAAAAAATACAGCCCAACATTACAGCTGCTAACTTGGGTCCTGCAGAGAACCTTACCATTGCCTGAACTGATTTCGGCAGAGACGGACAAAGATAGTACCACTGATCAGCTTCATGGCTCTAGCTTGGGATGCTTTTACGATATTAGACTGTGCTTAGCTCACTAAAAATAGCTTGTGAAACTTCTCAGGTGAATTTCAGCCTTCTAAAAGCACAGTGGCTATCATGCTTCATACAATGCTCTCTCCCAACTATGTAAACACTATTTAAAACCGAGCACTGCAACAACAAAAAAAAATAAAGATGGACAGAGGTAAATAATTTGGCCTCCTACTTTAATCTTACCCATTTCAGTCTTTTGGCTAAAGCGAGACTGCAGTCTGTTTCTCTATCCAGTCTACTAACATGAGACTAAATCTAAACTAAATCTACCACTAAATCTAAAAGGCTTTTTTGTAAAAGATCCATGTTAACAGTGTAATGGAGAAACTTGACAGATAAAAGCCTCTATCAATGAATTCTCAAGGGAATTCATGACAATTATGCACAATTTGGAAAGTTGCAACATTAAAAAAAAAAAGAAGAAGAAATGGTAAAAAAACCCACTAATGTATCTTGGTTTTAATAGAAGACAGTTACCATATAGGTGTACAAAACCCACTTTTTCCCATCCAGCCTCTCCCTTCTCAACTGAAACAATCCTAATCATTTCGCCCCTCCTCTTGCACATGGACAGAGATAAATCCTCCACTCTTTTCCACTATTCCTCTAGAACACTTAGGTAAACAAGAAACCAGTACATACCATTTCAGGTGTAGGTACTTCTAACTGTGTACCACAAGGTGCTTGAATTGCTAGGAGTGTATCTCCTGGTTAAAAAGCAATTTTTAAGTAAGTGTAAAGTGTGCATAGTTTTCTTAAGTCTTGCAAGATACCCACTCGAATGAGAAATGGTAATATTCTAAGACCACTTAAAATACATAATTCAGCATATATAAACTTGTGGTAAGACTTGCATAGTACCTGTAAGATCCAAGTATATTGCATGATATAAATCACAGAATTCCAGTACTTAGGTCATAGTTGCAAGAACCTTTTCTCACAGCAGTACAAGATTTACCATTTCCTTTACCTGTTTATCTTTTAGTTTTATATGTAACATAAGGTGAAAATATTTAATTAATTTTTTCACAGAATCAAAGAATCATTTAGGTTGGAAAAGACCTCCAAGATCGAGTCCAACCTGTGACTGATCACCCTCTTGTCAACTAGACAAAGTGCCATGTCCAGTCATTTTTTGAACACTTCTAGGGATGGTGACTCCACCATCCCTGGGCAGTCTATTCCAATGCTTAACAACCCTACTATGAAGACATTCTGCCTGATGTCCAACCTGAACCCCCCCTAATACAGCTTGAGGCTATGTCCTCTCATCCTATCACTTGTTGCCTGGGAGAAAAGGCCGACCCCCACCTTTCAGGTAGTTGTATGGAGTGATAAGGTCTCCCCCGAGCCTCCTTTTCTCCAGGCTAAAGCCCAGCTCCTTCAGCTGCTCCTCATATGACTTACTTTAGCTAAATCAGTTCTCTGGTCTAGCTCACTTTATGCCTTTGACAAATGGTGGTACTACAAAGATTTAATAGAAGGAAGAAAAGGTATTAATGATCATCTTCAAAGCCAGCATTTCCAAGTATCTAAGCTCACGGCTTCCAAAGCACAACTGGGACATTAAGAGCTGGCTATCAAACTCACCTGTGGCTTACTATGCAAATTAAAATGTGTTGGTTGAAGTCAGGGGATCACAATTACTTCCACAGCACTGGCACAACACTGCAGGTCACTTGCCTTTCCCCTTTGTCCATAACTGATTCGTAATAACACCTTTCTTTCTCTGCCTCCTAAAAGACACTTAGGTGAAGTACTATCTGAGTGCCATGCCAGGTGCCTCTATGTTTTGTAATGGCTAATTCTTTTTAGTTACAGCTACTTTTTGTTAAACTCTGCAGTAGTTTTCTAATCTTGCATTTTTATTAAAAAACAGTCTTCCTTGAGATGGTTCTTAGCCTAGCTGGAAGCTGAACAACAATCTTCCCTTGGGTGCCCTGGGATCGGGAAAGAATGTCAACGGTAGTAACCTCTGCCAGCAATTCTTGGCAGTTTCTTCAAACTGTACAGGAATCCTTTTGATTTAGCAGCTCCATCACTGAACTTTGTCTGGCTCCATTTATACAGCATCATCAGGAACTCTGACCACAACTGCCACCAGAAAAACTGTATGAAATTTGGATCTGTCTGGTTCATTTGGTGGGTTGGACCCACATGTACTGTCTCTGGTTCCATTAATGGCCTGAGGAAAGCTGCTGCAAAGTATGAATACCAAAAAAGGCATCCAAAACCAGGACTCCAGCTGAGCTTCCATTCAGTACAATCAGTAACTACAACTAGAAAATGCCGGAACTTGGTAGTCATGAACATTATGAGACATCAATATTGAGTACTTGTAAATTCAAAATACTTGCAAGGAAAAAGCAAGTCATTTTTCAAGAGGAAAATTAGGAAATCCCTTGCTTTAGAAATACAGCCTAACAGCAGCAACTTACCATTGAAGCAGTTGCAGATATCTTCATGGGTGACATATGAAAATGTAATGTATGTCAAGGAACATTTTTCTTGAAGCAACGTAGAACTGGTACGGGTTGCCCTTTAAAAGTAGTTTGTCCAAACTAAGTCTAAACTATAAAGTTACTATTGTTACTCAGAGGTGTAATCAAAGCATTTTTTTTGTCTGTCAGAATGAATAGTTAAAAATAGAAGAATTCTGTCTTTTAAAGAAAAAAACCTGTACTCGCAAAGAAAATACAAAAAGAAAAAAAAGTTGTGTAGCTTGCTTGAGAAGAGATCCTAACAGGGAGAACATGTAAAATCTTGTTTTGAAGAACACCGCTTATCTCACTGACACTACGGAATTCAAGTATGTATCAGGACTTCCCATAATCACATAAAACGACTGCTAGAGGGAACTTCAGAGTTCATCTCCCATCACATTCCTCTGCCTCAAGGTCAGATCCACTGTTCAGACATTCTGGATAGATGTCTGCCTCCCCTCTTCTGGAAAACCTCCAGTGATGGGTAATTCACCACCTCCCTGGGAGGTCAATTCCAGTGCTAGCTCTCCCAAAGCAAAGTTTTTCCTAACATCTAACCTCAATCTCCTTTACTACAAAATCCATTTTACACAACCAGTTTCTGTATAGCAAGTCCCAATGTTTAAATACTTATCATTGGTGCTATAGTTTCTATAAGAAGGGCACTTTCCTGCTCCCAATCTCAGGTGTCTGTTTTGCTCAGTATCTTGCAAGATAGCTAAGCACATGCTTATGCAGCTAGAACTCTCTGTTCAGGGGTTATTTAAACACAGGATTTTTTTCCCAGTTTCAAGCCCAACAAGTTTCAGGACACTGTCAACTCAATTTATCTTTGGGTGATAGCCTAATCTTTGCAGGAGAACGAAGCAACACAAAACAGATTCATGTAAAGCAGTGGTAACAAGGTATAAATTCAAGTGCTGGAAAGCAGTATAGACTACCACAGAATATTCTGAGTTGGAAGGGACCCTCAAGGATCATTGAGTCCAATTCTTAAGTGAATGGGGGACATATAATTAAAGTAAGACACCAGGATTATACTACAGACTTAAAAATACATATATATATATGCTAACTTATTTTCATGTTACCAATCACAGTCATAGAAGTTAAAAAGCCACGTAAATAAAATTTGTATCTTCTTTCTTTGAGAAAAACTTGAAAAAATATTTGTCTTACGTTTCTTCTGGATAAAAGAGACTACATTATGCTTTATCCATTACCTATACCTTAGCTGTTGCTTTAATTCTAGTTCCAAGAGGCACACAATTACTTTAAAAGGATATTGGTGGTTTGTGGAATCATCCATGACATTCTTGATACTTTGCTGAAGCCACAGTTTCTGCTGATCCAATTCTTTCTCTTTTAGCTCTAGATCTTCAATTTCAGCTTCCAGATACCTCAGCCTGTCTATGACTTCTTTTGTATTGCAGCCAGCACCTACTCCTCTTAAAAAGGTAAAAGGGTTCATGAAACCACAAGTAAAAATCTAAAGCAAACAGACAATGATAATTTCTTAAGACTATTTTCAACATTTTTAAAATCTATTAATATTCAATATGAAGGAAATGAGCATTTGTGGTGTCATATCTAGTCAGAAGTGGAAAGATGCAATTTTTGTTGCTCTTGAGCATATGAAAATTTTGCAGAATTGACATGGCTTACTTCCACTGAATGCTGTTTTTTGACTTCTTCTCAATGAGATCAATCCCCTCCAAAACATTGGTGATATCATAGATCCTTCTCTTCTGCCTCACGGCAAGCGTATCAGCAGCCTGTCAAGAGAACAAGTATCAGCAACTCGCATCCTGCAGGAAAAGACAGTTAAGCCACTCCCTTGGAAAAATGCCATGTAATGTCATTCTGAAGGGAGAAGGTTCTACTCTTCAAGAGCCAGATATTCCATCACTAATTCTAAAGTTCAGCACCTGCAGGTAGCGCTGCAAACCAGATGGAGGAGTCACCTTGCTGAAGGCCAGCAGGCCATTCCTGGACAGGAGGGGATATTCACATGGGTTGCCAAGACCCTGTTCAGTATCTGGAGCATGTGCTGTTCAACTGCATGAAGGAGCTTCCAGTGCTCTTTCTGGAAGGTAGGAAAAAGTAGGGAAGGCAGACAGCAACACCCTGCAGTGGGGCAAGCCTCTCAAGCCAAGGTCATGCTAAGTTTACCATCCCTTTTGCTGACACAAAGTACTGAAGCTTTTGTTCGGCTTCAGCAGTACTGGGACACAAATCAACAGGGTTGTAATTTCACAAAGTGGCAGAAGGAGAGCTGCAGTACTTCAGGCCATCACTGTCCTCACATGAATCCACCTCACAGTGTACAAGGGCTCACTCACTCAGGGTCACCCTGAGCACCACAAACAGTTCCACAGGCACCAGGACACTGGTACAGCTCACAGGGATGTCCCACTGACACTCAGCTATCTGTACAGTGTGTCTGAGGGCTGTCACAGCTCACCTCTCAGAGCAAAGCAGAGCATCAGGAAGAAGAAACTCTGCTTCACGCCTTATCTCTCTCCATGGTGACTTTTATGTACCTGATGCAAAGAGTTAAGATAAAATAAGCAAACTTGAGCTACTCCTGCCTTCCACAGCCTCAGCTCTTTGATGCTGAAAAGCAGGTCAGGTTCAAAGAACATTAGCTAAAAGGAGAGAAAGCAAAGAGGA